GGAGTAGGAGGAAGAAGAGGATGGATGATGGTGATGTTGATGGTAATGGTGGCGATGGTGAGGTAGAAGAGTGGGACGAGGGTATGATGACGAGGAGGGGAAGGAAGAGGAGGAGGAGGAGGAGGAGGAGGAGGAGAACGAAAAGGAGGGAGGTTAAGGAGGCGGAGGAGGACTGCGGAGATGGACTGCGGAGTGGGGAAAGATGATGAGGAGTGGGATGAGGAGGAGGAGGAGGAGGAGGAGGCTTTATTGTAGATGACTAGCGAGCAGGGAAGACGTGGGTGTGGGTGAAGACGAGAACGACGGCGATGGCAACGGTGACGATGACCACTGCCGCCCTCCTTCGCGGGCGACGGCGCCAGGCGGAGGCGCTCAGCTCGGCGCTGCGCGTGCCGGAGCCCGGCCTCCGCGCGCGCGCTGGCTGGGGGTGGCGCGGCATCCCCGAGTTCGTCATCCTCGTCGTCGTCGTTGTCGTCGTCGTCGTCGTCATTTTCGTCGTCGTCGTTGTCCTCTTCCTCGTCCTCGCCCTCCCCCTCGCCCCGCACTCCTCCCCCTCTTCCGTGGAGGAGGGATCAGGAGGAGGAGGAGGAGGAGGAGGAGGAGGACAAGGGAATCGGAAATCCCTCCCCCCGATCTGCCCTGGCCCTGGCAGGCTCGGCCCCCGTGCGGGCGGCGCGCCCTTGTACGCGCGCCGTGGCGCGCGCGCCGCGCCTGCGCGCCGGCCATGTCCTGAAGGCTCACGGCACTCGGGGCGGCCAGCTGCCGTCTGGGGCGCCCCGCCGGCAGGCACCTGGGGGGTGGGAGGGGGGGTGGGGTCCATGCCTTCGGCGAGGTCCATGCCTTCGGCGAGGCTCCCAGGTGCCGCCCCTGGGCTATTCGCCCCTATCGTCGCATCCGAGGGCGGCGGGGCGAGGAAGGGCGTGCGCGGGAGTGATGCTGGGGATGGTCATGATAGTGATGATGATGATGGTGATGATGATGATGATGATGATGATGATGATGATGATGATGATGGTGATGATGATGATGATGTTGATGATGATGATGATGATGGTGATGGTGACCGTGATCAAAAAAAATGGTGACCATGGTGCTGATTTTGATGATGATGATGCTGATGCTGACGATGATGGCGATGATGATGCTGATGCTGATGCTGATGCTAACGATGATGACGATGATGCTGCTGCTGACGATGATGGCGATGATGGCGATACTGCTGATGATGATGGTGGTGATGATGATGATGATGAATACTATGTTGATGATGACGATGATCAGGACAATGATGGTGATGGTGATAGTGATGGTGATGATGATGCTGTTGCTGATGATCATTATGATCGTGATGATGATGATGTTGATGATGATGATGCTGTTGATGGTGGTGGTGATGATGGCGACGATGATGATGATGCTGATGACGATGACGATGATAGTGATGATGATGATGATGATGATGATGATGATCATGATGGTGATTCTGGTGATGATGATGATTTTGATGGTGACGATGGTAATGACGAGGATGATGACGACGCTCATGCTGATTGCTATGATGATGAAGGTGATCTTATGAGAATGACAATGATGATGATGGTGATGATGATGATGATGATGATGATGATGATGATGATGATGATGATGATGATAATGATAATGGTTATGATGATGACCATTCTGATGATGATGATGATGATGATGATGATGAGTTTGACAATGATGACGATGGTGATCATGATGATAAGGGTGATGATGGTGATGGTGATTACGATGGTGTTAATGATGCTGATGATGATGCTGAGTGTGTTGATGATTATGATGTTGGTGTTGGTGACGATGATGATGATGATGATGATGATGATGATGATGATGATGATGATGATGATGGTGGGGGTTATGATGCTGATACTTCTGATGATGATGATGCTGATGATGGTGACGACGACGATTATGATGATGCTGATGGCGATAGTGATGGTGGCGACGATGTTGATTATGATTGTTGTGGTCATGGTGATACTGATGCTGCCGTCTCTAATGATGACGATGATGTTGATGATGGTGATGCTGAAATGTTGTTTAGAGTGATGATGGTGATGATGATTGTGGTGGTGGTGATGATGCCAGTGGTGATGGTGGTGATGATAATGATGATAGTGGGGGTGGTGATGGTGGTGCTCGTGTTGCTGCACCTGATGGTGATGGTTTTGATGACGATGCTCATGACGATGATGCTGATGATGATGATGATGATGATGGTGGTGGTGAGGATGAGGATGAGGATGGTGCTGATGATGATGCTGGTGATCATGGTGATGATGACGACGATGATGCTGATGATGATGACGAAAGTGGCGACGATGATGATGACGATGCTGAGGATGATAGTCCTGGTAATGATCATAATGATGATGATGATGACGATGCTGACGGTGATGGTGATAGTGATTGCTGAGGATCATGAGGATGCTGATGATTGGTGATTCTGATGGTGCTGATGACGATGGCGATGATGATGGTGATAGTGATGATGCTGTTGATGATGGTTACGATGACGATGATGCTGATTATGGTGATGATCATGCTGATCATGATGATGACGACGATGATGATGGTGACGAGGTTGATGATGATGATGATGATGATGATGATGGTGATGATGATGATGATGATGATGATGAGTGCGATCGTGATGGTGGATGATCTAGTGATGCTGCTGATGATGATGATGACCATGCGGACGGTGCTGCTGCTGATGATGACGATTATGATCATGGTGATGGTGATGGTTACGATATTGATGATGTGAGTGATGATGGTGATGTTGACAGTGATGGTGGTGGTGATGTTGGTGACGATGAGGATGACAACGATTATGCCGAAGATGCTGATTTTGGTTATGCTGATGATGATGACGATGATTGTGATGACGATGATGATGATGCTGTTGATCATGCTGCTGATGATCATAATGATGATGGTCATGATGGTGACGGTGATGCTGATGGTGATGTTGATTGTGGTGGTGATGTTTATGATGATGATGCTGTTGATGATGATGATGGTGATTGGTGCTCAAGGTTTTTAGTGTGATTGTTGTGTTTATGATGGTGCGGATGCTGATGGTGATGATGACGGTGATGACGACAGGATGTCGAGAGTAATGATGATGATCATGATGGTAATCATGCTGATGATGATGATGATGATGATGATGATGGCAATGGTGGTGGTGATGACAATGCTTATTGTGATGCTGATGAGGGTTGTGATGGTGATGATGGTGGCCGTGGTGATGGTGATGCTCATGATGCTGCTGTTGCTGATGATTATGATGATGCTTTTGATCATCATGATGACGATGACGTTGATGATGATGCTGATGATGATGGTGATGGTGCTGGTGATTGTGATGGTAGTGATGATGATGGCAATGATGACGATGATGATGGTGACTCTGATGATGCAGTTGCTGATGATGGTGATGATGATAATGATGGTAATGATGATGACGATGATGA